TCACATCTTGGAGATGTAGTCACATATTGACAAGCCGGGAGAGTTGGGTGTCAAAGTCTTGAGAAAGATGGTGGTTCAATCACTTTCTAAGTCACATAGTGAGTTCTTTTGGAACACCTATGAAACAGACTATGACAAGACCCTTAATGATCTTATCTATTTGTTAAGATCAACTTCCTCAAAACTTGATGGACATTGACAATAGTGACATAGGAAATACAGAAAAGCATTCTCTTCCCAATGGAATGGGATTGACCATAGTAAACTAGGTTGACCAAATGGTAAAGAGAAAAGGATAAGTTTGTAATAGTCCCGTGTACCATTATCAAGGGGTCCATATGTTTATATTGCCAAAGGAAGGGTCATTGGTTACAAAGCTGCCAAGTTTACCTAAGGATGTTAAAGTCAATAAGTTTGACTCCACTTCAGGTAAAGTCCACTATCTAACTCTGCTAAGTTTCTATTCTGAGATTCTTATTACATGATGTGACTGGGTCACATGTTGATGTTTTAAGAATCAAAGAAAAGTGAAGGAACTTAAAGAAAGAATATGCTGAATATGATCACATAGATGGATTTCTATCGCGTAGTTTGAAGATCGGATTCTTGAGCTACTTCTTAGGAGTTATGAGGTATTGCTTAGGAATAGATAACAACAAGTTTTCATATGGATTGTAAGGATAAGTTTTTCCGCATAGTTTTAAAATAAAAGAAAATTTTTTATTTTATTTATTTTAAAATATCCTTACAATGGCATTTGTGGAAAAATTGTTGCTTATATGATTCCATTAATATCAAGAGTGGAAATATGAAATTGATTCCTTCATTTGTGGTAATGTCTAAATTTACCAAATAAGAAAAGATTCCCATCATCCAAAGTCTCAATTGGACCGGGACTTAGAATCATGCAAGTTGTATAGCATGATGAATGAGAACTTTCAAGTATTGAAAAAATTAAGACTAATTACTTGTTCACATGGATGTGTGAGTCAAGTAATGGACTAAGGGATCAAGTACATAGTCATGTGCACTGATTAAGTCCGCCACAAAAGATATAAGGCTATTTGTCATAGTTTACTAAAGCTCAGTAAATATGATTATACTTACAAGCTTAAGTGTAACTCTGAGACATTGGAGAAGGTTTCAATGCATGGCAGAGCGGATAAGAAGAATCAAATTAGGCAGAAGGATAAAAGTTTCTCAAATTTGAAAAGATGGGAGAGTACTTTAGTATCAGTTTTGTGATCATCTTAATGATTAAGAAACCATTTCAAAATTAGTTCTCTAAGGAAGTCTTAGTGCATTCTTATGACTAAGAAGAAGGGATCTTGAATTGTTGAAATGTCTAAATCAAGAAGATGAGTTATACTTCGTTCAAATACATGTATTAGAGTCATACTCCAAGATTGTAATTTGAGTGACATGTCTTTAAGAAGGTTTAAAACACGTGTCAAATGTAAGAGTAAAAGTGTCCTACTCTTGTTCATTTGAAGTTGGTAAGTTGTGATGTTTTGGATAAAACAAAGACCAACTTAGGCCAACTATGTGAAGTGTTGGTCTTGATTAGAATCCACACTATCTCTTGGATGTTTGACAAGGGTGTCTTATAGGTCAAGAGGACAGTGGGAGTCTTAAAGGTCTTGAAAGTTTCAAGAACTAATCAAGAATAAAACCTAAAGTTGTTCACTAGCACACGACTTAAGGTTTATAACCTATCGTGTTGATATATTCTGTGCCCATTCCAGTTAAAGTTGGCTTTGCATATGAGTTCTTAGAGTTCTTAATTGGTTGCAAAACAACTTGGAAGCAATGGCATGCCCTTGAGCTGCCAGGTGGCAAGAAGTTAAGATTGAGTTCAGTCCATATGAGTTTGGATTTGTCATTATGCTTGTCTTGTGACTATGGTTTTGAAAATTCACATGGATAAGAACACATACACCAGTAAATCTAAGTGTCATAAGGTTTCTCTCCGATTCATGAAAATGATGGTGAGGAAACACTTACACTAAGTAGATTTTAGTTAGATAGCAATTGTGATATTTGCATTCTCAAAGTCGTTAGTGGAGCGTGTGTGGTTTACCGGCACACTAACCTGGACTTGTGAGAAGTGGCAAAAAGGTCTAACCATTATGATTACGGCATCCCTCTTCATAATTGTATAGACACACAAGTGTGCTATCTAAGGGAAGGTGTATGTTTTGATAAAGTTTTATCAAAACAATCTAGTATTAGAAATATGAACTTTGGTAAGAAAGTCAGCTGATTTCTGAGTACATGTCAAAGCTAGTGGGAGCATAAGTGTTATGCTAATAATCATCATGTTAGTGGGAGCATGATAATTATGATAAGTATTGCAAGTTAGCAATGTTAATTATAGAAAACAAAAGGTTTCAATTGGGAAATGTTGTTTTGCTATAATTAAGGGAGAGGAAATTATACTTCATCTCAAATCTATAAGCTTAGATCGTGAGGTTTTAATCATTTAGTCAAGGATATATATGAATTTCATGTTGGAATGGCTCAACATAAGGAAATTTTGTATATGGGTCCATTATTTGCGTTCTAAAATTCGATTATGATTACGGCATCCCTTTTCATAATCTGAATTATGAGAACTTGGCAAATAGAAATGGAAATGTTATAGCAATAGACTGGTTTTGTCTTTATGTGAGACATCATGAATCGTGTCCCATATGCTTCGGATATAGGATCGATTACATGTGCTATATTCATCCTTTCTAAAAGTTTCCAAATGCCTAGGGCATTAAGGAGGGAAAAGGTTTAGAACGAGATATGACTAAAAGGATTAAACAATTGTCGAGGACAATCTAAGGTTTTCCAAAGATTGGTTGCTCAAGGACAGTTGGAAGTATAGTGATAATTCTGGAAGGACCATATTTACATAATCTGTAAAGAGGCAACTCTTGTTCAGAAGTGATAGTCAAAATGGAATCTGGAAATGTTTCAAAGTTAGAATTTTCAATCTGTGTAAGATTAAGGAAACTTAATGCAACCTTTGGAATGCTCTGTAATGTTTTTGTCAAGTCTTTATGAATTTGTGCATAATCGTTACAAGAGGATCAATGCATATAAGTTTAGAATCTAACAGATTTCAGTAAATAACATGAATTTGGAATTCTTGTATTTACAGTAAGGATATGGGAGTGTGAAAAGAGAATCATTGAAGTTATGTTCAATTGATCTAGTTCACAAAGTATAGATCATAGACAAACATAGTATGCATACTTGGTGTATGGCATGACTAGTGTTTAGAAAACATAGTGTACATGCTTGGATCATGGAACAACTATTGTTTTAAATTCAAGAATAAAGTTGATAGCTGAAACAGTATACAATGAATAATGTGTAATCATATGGTGATAAATAAAAGGTGTTTTATTTATGTTCATAGGTTTTGATACCATATTGGATTCAATTATTATTGTGTTTCACTTTGCATGTTTTGACTTCCCGAATAAACTAGGTTATTCTTCCGGAATGACTAAGTTATTCAAACCATCCACAGTCGGTCATATGTTGGAAGTAGATATGAATTAAGATTGTCATGGGTTGGCTTGTAGAGGTCTAAGGTGTTGGACAAAGGGCTACAACACTCATGAGTGCTCATAAGTTCTGAGTATTGGATTCAACCTGCGCTCATTGGAATGACTTCATGGATTTTATCATGAGTGATCATGAGACGATAATATCTTATATTCTTCAAACCTAGAGATCTGAGTTGTTACTATGAGTTGATAGTACATTGATTGCACGAAAACGCATTTGGTAACTCGGTGCTATAAAACGTGCCTTTGTGTATGATTCAACAAGTAGTAGAACAAGCCATATGCGTCGAAGTTTATCCGTTCCTTTTACCTTCGGGATAAAAGCGATATCTGTGGGCCCCTCGATGATTTGATGATGACAAATGGAAGTGCTCGGCCGGGCCGGGACTGATTTGATTTGTTCAATTAGTCAGTCGTCATAAATCGGAAATAGGGAAACAACAAATGGACAGAGAGAATGATTATAATCCATGTCTCAGTTCATATGATATCTAGAATGGAGGAATATATGATCCCCTATCTAATGGACAAGTCATTGACAAAGGTCAGCATTTACCGACAAGGTCAGAGTTCAACAGAAGCTTTTGAGAGCTACGATTGCCAGTGGGTTCCTGAAGTCATACGCAATAATAGTTTTAGACTTATCCAAGTGGGAGACTATTGGATTAATGTCTAAGTCCATAACTATAATTGGTAAGACTTGACCCGACCCGGCATGGTCCATTTGGGTTGCATGGCATCATGCACTTGGATAGACTATAATGAGAGAAATAAGACACTTATGGTTATTAATATATTATAAGTTCTAGTATATTAATAATAAGAATAATAAGATTATTTAATTAGTATTGATCAAGAATTAATCTAGGATTAATTAAGTGATCAAAAGAAGACTAATTAAATATATGGGTTGATTGTGTAAATCATCCATACTTGTATAGTGAGCTAATGCTCCGTGGATAATCAAGTTGGGCTAAAACCCATAGGATGGTCCATGGATGCTCCATGGTGTATTTGAACCCATGGATCCAAGGAAATGGAAGGTCATGACAATTAGGGTTTACCCTAATTGTAACACTATATAAAGATCACATTCTTGGGAAAAATCTGCCACTAGTGAGAGTAAGAAAGGGCTAGCCGATTTCATGAAGTGTAGAATTCTCTCTAAGTTATTCCAAGTGCTTATGGTGTTGTATGAACCATTTGAGGTGTCACACTTGGGGCACTAGGCACTCAAGCTTCATGAAGACAAGCACTAACAAAAGGTATGTATTCTATCTTGTTATATCCATTGTTTTGTATGCTAGATTAGGATAATACCTTGGATGTTCATATTTTCATGTATAATAGAGAAAACATAGATCCAAGGTATTTAGGGTTGCATGTACACTTAGGAGTGTTAGAATGCTCATAACCCAACAATTTAGTCAAGATATGTTAGTAACTGTTGGTATGTCTGCCACTTCTGAGGACATGATAAGTAGAGGAAGCAAGATGCAAGAAAACGATAAGAAATGTAGGCGTGAATTACGTGGTGCTCTTCCACCAGTAGTTTACAATTATGTAAGAGGATGTGAAACTGCAAAGCAAATTTGGGATACACTAAAGGAGAAATATCATGGAAATGAGAAGACAATTGTAACATCCTGATGTTGAGGTATTTTCAATTCTAACTCGTTGTACGAGTAAATATTGCATTTTGGTCTCTGAGTATAAGAAAGAGTACAAAATAACCTATAGTGGTATTTTTGTAAATTTCGGCGAAACATATGGACGTTCAGTATACTACATGGTACACTGGGCGTAACGATCATTTAAGGGAATGACATCGTTTTGGGAGTACGCTGGGCGTACAATGCGTATGCTGGGCGAACTCCGTCTAGGTGAAAACCCTAATCTTGAGGGTTTAGACTCTATATATTGAACATTAAGTCCTAATTCCCTAATCCATTTCTAGCCTCCATCATTAGAAACGTCTTCACTTGAAAACCCTAGCCCCGTTGTTTCATTTTGAAACTTGGGTGTGTGTTTTTGTGTGTACTGCACTGAAGCTGAATTGGTTAGACTCTGTGTTTAATGTGCTGGTAGGCATGAAGGATTCAAAGTGTTGCATTTTGAAGCTTGCGTGTGTGTTTTTGTGTGTACTGCACTGAAGCTGAATTGGTTAGACTCTGTGTTTAATATGCTGGTAGGCATGAAGGATTCAAAATGAAAGGACTAGACACTGTTGACAATGAAAAGACTTGACAATGTTAACTCATCTAGACTTAGATAGTTACATTTGGACTGACCATATGACGCTCGGATAGATTGAGCAGTATGATAAACAAGAGAGCCCGCGAGATACATTAAAGTTAGTTATCATCTAGAATTGTGGTTCACCACTTCTTTGACGTACAGACTTATGTCCTTAATTCTAGTGTTGATAGGGTGACTGGGGGTTCTGATAAAGCAAGTTTGTATGAAATTATTTTCCTTTCTTATCTTCTATGCCAGTCATATGTTTCCCCCTTTGCATGATTGGAAGAGATCCGACCTGGGATGCAACATATGCATCGTTATTTCTATGCATCTCTCTATCTATGTCAGTCATATGTTTTCCCCTCTGCGTGATTGGAAGAGATCCGACCTGAGACACAACATATGCACCTTTCTATCTCTCTATCCCTCTATCTATATTAGTCATATGTTGTCCCTTTGCATGATTGGAAGAGATCCGACCTGGGATACAACATATGCATCTCTATATCCATCTTCTCTCTCTAATAATTGAACACTCACCTAATGTAAAGAGCTCTTTGGAATTCCTTGATTGCTATGGTGTGTTGTGAAGTGAGGAACACATTCCAGTGCGCTTAAAATTGAATTGGTTCATGACTAAAGGTTGATTGTAGATCTCACTGCTGAATTTAAGTGGACAACAATATCCTTGGTCGTCGTCAATAAAATGGTCTATTTAGGAATATAATTTCAATATCTTGTCACTTATGATCTGTCCAACATGCAAATATCCTTTTGTTTAAGTGGACCGCAATATTGGTGATTGACTAGAGTTATCCATGTAGGTGTGTGCTGAGAAACGATATTAAATTTGCTTCATCACGTTTGATCCCAAAGGTTTTTGTTTTATTAGAATCTATATATTACATTTTTGTTTTTTTTTTAAATTTGTACATACTTTCTTTGTTATGCACAAATTTAGGGTGAGAAATTACCAATAAAAAATAAATTAAAATAAAATAAAATAAATTAAAAAATATTGTTAAAAATGTGTGTTTAATTTTATTTTTTATCATTGTTTTGGTCTTTGAAATGTAATATCGAAAGAAATGTTTTATTAAAAACATATATTTTATTCTTGGGCAGAAATCGTTTGGTGGGCCATCTGTCATTGCTGTCTTCTCTCCAAGTTTTTTCGAGCTTTCCTGAAAAATCTGCCTTTTTCGATGTTTGTGTTGCAAATTTGTTGGTGAAGCAGGTAGATTATTGGTTTTCAATCGTGGCAATGGCATTTACGTTGTGCTTGGTGTATTTGTTATCCTCAAATTTGCAGGTTTCGAATGGTTTCGACGAGTTATTACGACAAATAGTGATTGGAACAGGCTCCAATGAAGATCCGGGTTTTCGGTCGAAATTAGTGTTCTCGGCCGAAATCTCATATTTGACTAAAACCGCTTACGTTTGACCGAAATCAATATTTTTTTAATAAAATTTGAATTATTGAGAAAAAAAAATTTAATTTTAATTTTTATTGTTCTCACTTGGCTCGTTTGGTGTAGATAAATGGCAGATCAGTTGAAGTTTGATGATTCTCACAATATCATTGGATATCTCTTGGATCCACCTGTAGCACACAATTAATTCAAATCCATGATTGCGGGTGTGAACAATTGCAGAATTTCTCACGCTCTATGTGTCAATCCAGTCATATGCAAGGATGTGATTAATGATTTCTGGAGGAATGCATCATTCAACTGTACAGGAGCGGATGGTACTGGTGCTATTGAATCTTCTATGAAAGGCAAGCAGATTATTATTACAGAGCAAGTCATTCGGGAAGTGCCTCAGTTCGGAGATCAGCCTGCTTTCCTAACTCCCTGCTGCCAAGATCATAAAAGTATTAAAAAAGATGAATTACGATGGAATTTTTCCTCCAACAGTCAAGAAGCTACTTCCACCTTATTGGAGAGATTTAGCCCATACTTTTGTTAGCTGCATTTATGGAAGAAAGGGCGGGTCAGATGAGATAATCTAAACAGCAACATTAGCCTTTGTTGCACTAACAATGGACTGGGAGTACAATTTCTCAAAATTTGTTTTTTAGTAAATAAGGAGCAACCTTTCTACGAAAAAGAAGGATGTTTTCTTGATGTATCCTCGGTTTTTACAAATGATCTTTGATGCCATGCATCCCGAGTTGGAAAGGACCCCTGATACTCTTGATGTGAAGACACTTGGTCCAAACACCTTTGGACTCATGAAACGAGTGCAACATCCAGTCCATTGTTTACTAAAAAGGCAGGGTTCTTGGTGTAATTAAGAAAGATTGACTCGACGAGTCTATGGATAGACTCGGCGAGTCGAGTCGCGATTTGGTCACATGCTAAGTGATTGACTCGATGACTAGACTCAGCGAGTCAGTGCTGGGATGAGAAACCCTATTTTCAGGGCTTGCACCCTATTTAAAGAACGTTATGTTTTCCCCTCAGCCTCTTTGCTGCCCATTTGAGATCCAGAGAACCCTAATTCGTGAGGAAACCCTATTGTGAGTGAATTAGAGCTTGGAGGAGGATTTTTGGTGTTGAAGCTTGAAGGTTTGGAGGCTTGTATCAGGAAGCTTGGGGAGATCAGAAATCTATAGTTAGTTGAGCTCAAGTCAGGGGTAAGGAACAATTCCCTTAAGCTAATTCTTCATGGATTCATGTATGGTGATTGATATGAGATCTAAGTCGAGATAGAAGCTCGGATCTGAGGATGCTACTTCAGATCTAAGCGTGCGATGGTCCTTTATGCCATAAAGTTTCAGTCGTTTCATGATTGGTGAAGCCCCTTTTGTCCAAAACCCAAGCCCTAGTGTGTTTTGAGTTATATCTCCTTGGAATCATGTAAAGTTTGCAAATTTGCGTGAGGGCTAGCTTGTAGAAGGATATATCTATGGATTTAAGCCCCAACATGGTTTAGAAAGCCACTGCATGGGTTAAGAGTTGGAGATACTAGGCGAGTCTTATGGGTAGACTCAGCGAGTTGGATGAAGATAGGCAGGAACTCGACGAGTTGGAAGAACAACTCGGCGAGTCTGTTGAAGATAACCTTGGACTCGGCGAGTATGTTCTTGGACACGGCGAGTCTAGTCGAGGAGTCCTAACCTTTCCGGGTTGAACGGTGAATCGGCGAGTCAAGGGATGACTCGGTGAGTTGAGCGTGAAGGGATTCAGAGTTGGACTCGGCGAGTCTTGGGGTGACTCGGCGAGTTGAGTCGCGATGTGGGAGTTTTTAGAGCATGGGGACTCGACAAGTCAGCGGGTTAACTTGGCGGGTAGAGTCAGTCAGGAAGTTGACTTTGACTGAGGACTTTGACTTTGACCAAGAGTTGACCAGTTGTCTTCCAGGGGTATTTTGGTAATTATTGGTTTTGGTTATTTGGTATTGACCAGTGGAGGAGTTCGTGTCAGTATTTGGAGCAGCGTGATCTTATTCTTCAGCCAGCAGTTGTAGGTGAGTTATCCTCACTATATCGACAGGGTCTACGACACCAAGGCCGACCCTTTTATCGGATGGAAGTCCGAGTAGTTGTTTGTTATGTTATTGCTTGCTATGATTGCATCCTGGTAGTTAGGATAGTATATGTTTGAGACCTGGTTAGGGTCGGTATCCTGGTTTATAGGATGATGTTATGCTAGTGACCGGTTAGGTCGGTATCCTGGTAGGGATGTGCTATGTATGTGATCTGCTAGATCGGTTGATTAGTTGTGAATTGCTATATGATTATATGTTTATTTGCACATGGTTGTTTGATTGGGGTTGGGTTGAGGTGGGTCCTGCCTTGTGTTGTAGGCCAACATACCCAGGGCTGACCGGATATCCCGAAGGCCCAGCGAGCGGTCCGGATAGGTTGTAAGCCCTAAGAGGGCGAACTAGATGTGCCGAGGCTTGGAGAGTGGACCAGGCCGAATGAAGGCCCGGTGCAGGTGGTCCAGCCATACTTTAGACTCAGAGAGTGGACCAGGTGGGTTAAAGGCCCGGTACGGGCGGACCAACCACACTGGAGACTCGATGTATATGGCTAGACTCGAAGGGTGGACCAGGTGGACTGAAAGCCTGGTGCGGCGGACTAGTTGTTGGGTTATGAGCATTCTAACACTCCTAAGTGTACATGCAACCCTAAATACCTTGGATCTATGTGTTCTCTATTATACATGCAAATATCAAGTTTCCAAGGTATTGTTCTATTCTAGCATACTAAACGTTGAATAACACAAGTTAGAATAACATACCTTTTGTTAGTGCTTGTCTTCATGAAGCTTGAGTGCCTAGTGCCCCAAGTGTGACACCTCAAATGGTTCACACAACACCAAATACACTTGGAATAACTTGAGAGAATTCTACACTTCATGAAAATCGGCTAGCCCTTTGTTAGTCTCTCTAGTGGCCAATTTTGATCAAGGATAAGATGCTTATATAGTTATACAATTAGGATAAACCATAATTGTCATGACTTTCCATTTCCTTGGATCCATGGGCTCAAATACACCATGGAGCATCCATGGAGCATCGTATGGGTTTTGGCCCAACTAGATAATCCATGGAGCATTAGCCCACTATATAAGTATGGATGATTTGCACAATCAACCCATATATTTAATTAGTCTTCTTTTGATCACTTAATTAATCCTAGATTAATTCTTGATCAATACTAATTAAATAATCTTATTATTCTTATTATTAATATTCTAGAACTTATAATATATTAATAACCATAAGTGTCTTATTTCTCTCATTATAGTCTATCCAAGTGCATGATGCCATGCAACCCAAATGGACCATGCCGGGTCGGGTCAAGTCTTACCAATTATAGTTATGGACTTAGACATTAATCCAACAGTCTCCCACTTGGATAAGTCTAAAACTATTATTGCGTATGACTTCAGGAACCAACTGGCAATCGTAGCTCTCAAAAGCTTCTGTCGAACTCTGACCTTCGTAAATGCTGACCTTTGTCAATGACTTGTCCATTAGATAAGGGATCATATATTCCTCCATTCTAGATATCATATGGACTGAGACATGGATTATAATCATTCTCTCTGTCCATTTGTTGTTTCCCGATTTCCGATTTATGACGACTGACTAATTGAACAAATCAAATCAGTCCTGGCCCGGCCGAGCACTTCCATTTGTCATCATCAAATCATCGAGGGGCCCACAGATATCGCTTTTATCCCGAAGGTAAAAGGAATGGATAAACTTCGACTCATATGGCTTGTTCTACTACTTGTTGAATCATACACAAAGGCACGTTTTATAGCACGAGTTACCAAATGCGGTTTCGTGCAATCAATGTACAACCAACTCATAGTAACAACTCATATCTCTAGGTTTGAAGAATATAAGATATTATCGTCTCATGATCACTCGTGATAAAATCCATGAAGTGATTCCAATGAGCGCGGGTTGAATCCAATACTCAGAACTTATGAGCACTCATGAGTGTTGTAGCCCTTTGTCCAACACCTTAGACCTCTACAAGCCAACCCATGACAGTCTTAATTCATATCTACTTCCAACATATGACCGACTGTGGATGGTTTGAATAACTTAGTCATTCCGGAAGAATAACCTAGTTTATTCGGGAATTCAAAACATGCAAAGTGAAACACAATAATAATTGAATCCAATATCATATCAAAACCAATGAACATAAATAAAACACCTTTTATTTATCACCATATGATTACACATTATTCATTGTATACTGTTTCAGCTATCAACTTTATTCTTGAATTTAAAACAATAGTTGTCCCATGCTCCAAGCATGTACACTATGTTTTTCTAAACACTAGTCATGCCACACCAAGTATGCATACTATGTTTGTCTATGATCTTTACTTTGTGAACTAGATCAATTGAACATAACTTCAATGATTCTCTTTTCACACTCCCAAATCCTTACTGCAAATGCAAGAATTCCAAATTCATGTCATTTACTGAAATCTGTTAGATTCTAAACTTATATGCATTGATCCTCTTGTAACGATTATGCACAAATTCAAAAGACTTGGCAACAATCATTACAGAGTATTCCAAAGGAGATCAACTCCTTGGAAACATCCTTCTTGCATTAAGTTTCCTAATCTTAAAGATTGAAAATTCTAACTTTGAAACATTTCCAGATTCCATTTTGACTATCACTTCTGAACAAGAGTTGCCTCCTTACAGATTATGTCAATATGGTCCTTCCAGAATTATCACTATACTTCCAACTGTCCTTGAGCAACCAATCTTTGGTAAACCTTAGATTGTCCTCGACAATTGTTTAATCCTTTTAGTCATATCCAGTTCTAAACCTTTTCCCTTCTTAATGCCCCAGGCATTTGGAAACTTTTAGAAAGGATAATATAGCACATGTAATCGATCCTATATCCGAAGCATATGGGACACGATTCATGATGTCTCACATAAAGACTA